TTACTCTTGAAATGTTTCTTTGATGAAAATAATCTGATTTAAGGCCTCTATTTATATCCACAAAAGCGGGAACAAGATGATTGAGTGAAGAAATAAACAAAAATAAACAAACATAACTTATGAAAATTAATAAAGATAAAAAATGAAATCATAACTTGTAAACTTCCCTAATGTATAGTCAATGCTTAAAAATACCCCACAATGTGATCCTCATCTGATTGGCATTATATAATTCGTGAAATAAGGAAAAATCTAGAATTTACGGAACCGAATTCTGATTTAAAATGAACAGTTACCGTAAAATCAAAAATTCTAACAAATTTCAGATTTCCTTCTTTTTCTTTTGGAATTTTTCCTTTTAATGCTAAAAAACTTTTCTTATCTTATAGTATACTAAAAATATAGAAAAGAAATAATTTAATTTATTTTCCGGAAGTGAAATCGGTCTTAAATTCCGACTACAATCGAAAACCGAAAACCCGAAAATTTTAAAACCTTCATATTTCTCTCTTAATAATTTAAATAGACTAAAATGTCTAAATAAATTATTTTACTCAAATGATTAATTTAGACACTCATGTAAAATTAATCATAAAACTTATCAGACTACTCGAAATAATTAATCCCTACTAATAAAATCCATTTCTAAAAGTAAACGAACCGGAACTAATGAATGAACTGGCTCGATTACTAAATAAAATTTAACCGAGAATACTTTCAACATAAAGTCAAACTTATAACTTATAACTTAATAACTTATTGGGATATTACATGTACAAATCTATACATACAATTTAGGGCTATATAGGATAGTAAATTTGGGGAGTGAAAACTCAAAAACAACAATTGTTAAAGCTACTTGTAATTAAAATATACTCTGTTGTCCCTCAGCTCCGAGTCGCACGCCGGCGGCGCGAACGCCGACCCGATCACGTGGAACTCCTCGAGCGTGATGCTATAATAAATATAATTAATATTATTATATAAAGTTGAACAATGTAATTACAAAAGAGATAATGATTTGATAAATTTATTTATGCCTGTTATCAAGACAATATATGAAAATGTTAAATGAGACACGAACCTAGTTTTTTTTTTTTTAGAGATAAATATGAAACGAATTTCGAAACTCAATTTCTTCTTCTTTAGTCTATTACAAAAATTACATTGGGGAAAAAAAGAAAAAAAAAATGGAAGAAAATGTATGAATTAATGTGTCTCCAAAATACTATTCCTCACTGGTTTTTCCTTGCAGGGCATCTGCCAAGTTAAAATTCAAATTGCCTCTCATTGTTCTTGAACCAACCCCAGGGCTACCCTTTCTCATCATCGTTGCGAATTCTCCGTAATCTATACGCCCATCCTGCACAAATATCATAGTCGAACATTTTCACGATTTCAACCCTTAACTTTGCAAATAGCTAAAAAAGCTTGTGTCAAACATGTATTTACCATCACCGTAGCGGTCGACCTCCGCGAGCATCCAGAGCTCCTCGTTGCTCGGCGGCTCTGCACCCAACCCGCACAACAACTCCTCCTTCCGGATCTTCCCGTTGCCGTCCGTGTCGATCATCTCGAACGCCTGCTTGAGCTCGAGGTACACGTCGGCAGAGATCTCGGACCAGTTTTTGGTGGAGCCGGAGGGGAGGACGGTGGTCGGCTTGGCCAAGCCGCCGCTGCCGTGCTTTTTGTATACGTCCTCGGAAGAGGCCGAGGAGAACGTCGCCTAGGAGCTGAAAGACGGCGAATCGACCTTGAATCTGGAAACGGATCGAGATTTTTAAGGTCGCTTGTCAGAAATGATCTTGGCGAGTTTCATGGCGGAGATGAGAATCCAACGGAGGTGAGAGAGAAGAAGGCAAGGAGAGAGAAGGAGGATGTGAAAATTTGGGATTTGAGGAGAAGAGGAGAGGAAGGAGAGAGATTAAAGGCAGCGAGGAAGCTTCGTAGAGAGAGAGTGATAAATTTTGGAAGAGATAATGAAAGATATACTAAAATAAATATGTAGTCAATCTTTCATAATATTTAGCCGCATAATCATATCACAAAAAATTGAAAAGTTAGGCAGGATAAATGAAAAAATTTCGAACAAAGTTTCCGTAACAGGTAATGTTTGAAAAATATGGAAGGGAAAAAACTACTAAAAATTTATTTTTTCTTAACTCTATTTTATAGCAATAGATAACTAGTAGTAATATTAATTGAAACATTTTTATTGAAAAAAAAAATTATAATTTTAAATATTTCATAAAATTTTAAGTATATATTTTTTTTTTCAAGATACTCATACTTGTAAAACTCACAAGTCTATATTATAATATATTTTCTATATACCATTGATGAGACAAAAATGTCACCCGGCCTTCCTCGGCTGGGACGGCCACCGTACCTGCAAGAACCCAATGTCGGGGACCCCGGGAGGGGTGCCCGGCTTTGGGCCTCCGATGCTTAAGTCAATACTGGATTCATATGAGAATGCATAGAGAGAGAGAGTGTGTGTGTGTAGGGAATGATTAGAGAATGGAGGAAATGAGTACCTTCACCCCCCCTTTTATAAGGGGAGTGTACCTTATAGTCCAAGTTGGGCCTGGCCTACGTTGGGCTCGGCCCATATTATCATATCAAGTGTCTTAGCCCATGTATAGGCGTATTCTTCAATATATATCCATAAAAACCGGTCGGGTACGACATGCTATATCAGATACTACCGGTCGAGCCGACAGTACTAGTCGTGGCTATATCATCTAGTCCACCCCACTCTGGTCGAGTGAGCATAACGCGATCCTGTTGGAACCCACGAGGATCTCGATATGCACAAATCACGGACAAACATTCAAC